AAACTAATGAACAAATAAACTGGCAACGAAATGCTCAATTTTCCCGGCAACAATTAAAATTTTGGTGGGACCAGTGTCATAACTAGGCAGGTGCAACAGGTGCACAAAGCCCACTTGGAAGGGGGCCCAAAATGTATATATCGGTTTTATTATTTTCCCAAACCTAATTAATTAAGGGGCATAAATGCAAATTCTTGCACAGGGCACAGGAATGGCTAGTTATGGCACCCTCTGTTATATTTTATTTTTTTTTTAGTTTTTAAACGTTTAACATTATAAAATGGCAAAAGCCTTAATTCCGAGGGAAGAGATAAGTTTTATAAAAAAAAAATTGTAAATGCTAATAACCAGTAAAATCATCATTAAGTCCGACCCTACTCTCGGCACAGGTGTTGTTAACCACGTTTATGTCATTTATGTATACCCCTGAGGGTATGACAAGCGTCCTTGGAAAATAACTGTATTATAGATCTTTACTCGAATCATCTCTTTATATTCTGTTTAAACGTCGATGAACATTTCGTTGAGATTTTTCTAATTTTTTCTTTTTAATTTGTGATCTGTTGAGTTAAATACTATTGTTTATATTAAAAAATATAACATATATAAACGTGTAATGTTATATTGAGTGTAGCCTACAGTTTTTCATAATTATAAATAAGTTCCAAACTGCATCCAATTTAGGCTACAGCAAAGACACATAAAGTGACGCAAATATTATACAATTAGATGTCCTAATAACAAATTAATACTTGAAAACAATAAATAAAATACGTGAACGCTGTAAATACAACAAAAAGTTTATTTAGACTATTGGTGGACGTGGCCAAGGTCCTGGAATATACACCTATATAATTTTTGGTTTGGAAAAAAGTGGTTCGTCGATAGAAATTAATTTACGTATATATATATACTGTATATATAGATATTACTTACGTAGAATTTACCATGTGACGTCAAATAAGAAAGTATTGAGAAACGTTTCTTCTCTAGTACTTTCTACGATCTTGGCACGTGGCCTCCTTTGGCATTTTAAACATGGCCGTCATATTGGCCTTTGTATCTCAATCGTCGATAAGACAACCTTCTTTTTAGGCTTCGTTGCTTCTAAACCAGTGTTTCTCAACGGGGGCGATATCGCCCCCATGTGGGCGTTTTTCAATGTTGAGGGGGCGATTAGTAACAATTTATATTTTGGGGGGCGAAAAACAATTTTTTGGGCGATACAGTAAAACATTATATTAAGAATAATTAGATAATTTATTCGTTATATCATACAATAATTAAACAAATAACACTATACTAGTCACTAGTCTATTCAATGTAGTACGAATTTGGCGTTAGCCTTGGCTTCTGGCATCAGAATTTTGAAGTTAAGGGGGCGATACTACGTAACGATTTTATTGAAGGGGGCGATACTATGTTGAACGGGGCGACGGTTCGTTCGAGGTTGAGAAACACTGTTCTAAACACTTATCGGATGCCATAATTTGTAAGTAAAAGTTATATTGGGTCGAACAGAAAGTTTTTGCGTATTTTAGCAGCTGTCGTAACTTAAAATAGAATCTGTGAAATTTAAGATATTAATTCTATTGTAAGATTATATTTTATGGAGCACCCAAAAACTGTCGGCGAAGAAAAACTGCGTTTAAAATAGACGAATATGCAATCAAACACTCCAAATAGTTAAACAGGGATTAGAAACAGGAGCGTAACACCCCGCAAGAGACCACCTGGGTGCACATACAATGGCGAAGCTGGCAATTACTTTTTAAATTAATATATGAATTTCACGCTAGTATTCTGTTTTCCCCTGAAAATTTGGATCGTGAACAATTCAAAAAAGAATACAGGCCTTTGTAGACAGTCTACCAAGACCGAGTGGAAAAGGCACTTAAAGGTGATAGTTGGTCACGGATTCGAACTTCATCAGTTGACTGGGCGCATGGAGTTTTGTACGTCTTCTTCGTTTGTTTTACACCTTAAATTTCTCATAGAAAGTCCTTTCGGGGAGCACATTTCCTTCGTGTCTAGTATTGTTGTCTGTAAAGGGAATAAATGTCTAAAAATGCAGCCCAGTCCATGTTATAAAGTAACAACTAATAAAGTGTCAGGAAGTGTTTATAAGTGTTTGTTTTATATATGGCCAAGAATATTTAATATAATCTGGTTTGTTTGAAGAATCGGCCATTTCGGAATCCACCAGTGGCCCAATGACTAAAATCACTGCACACTTGGAGTTTGTCGTGGTTTCGCGTCTGACCATGGAGTTTTCCGGGTTTTATTCACGTTAGTAACATGTAAATAGACATCAGTTTCCCGTATAAAGTCCTCCTGGGAGGCATCCCAGCTAGGCACATCGCCCACGTGTCGGTTTGACGTAAAGAAATAAACAAAAACCAGTCATTTCATCGTATTTCGTGGTAAAAATAACCACTACATATGATTTGCTGCTTTTATATTTTTTAAATTGTGTGTTGTTTATCAAAATATATTCTAGGTTGTATTTGTATAGACTGCATTAAAAATATAGGGGGTGTTTTATCCAAATTTTATTGTTTTTCAATGAAAACGAATAGTAGAATTTAACTTTATATTCTTTGATTTCTGGTGAAACATTTCAAAATATTAAAGTCTAAATTTACTAAAATAAAGAATTTATTAAATAGGCACGTATATTGTGGAAACAAGAGATTTACGTCTTTAATATTTCTGTTACATTTAATAAACTGAGGCATTTAACATATATTTTAAGTAAAATATTTAACAAATTATATTTATATAATTTATTATATAAACTAAAACTAGAAGACAGCTCAAGTAACTACATTAACTGCAATTATAATATTTATTAAAACCTTTAATAAAACATTGTTTTTTTATTATTATGTTATATGTATAAGTGCATACATTTTATATTTATGTATAAAAAATAATAATAATAAATCTATCTCTTTTCTCAGCAACATTAACTATTTATATTAATAATAATANCGCCTTCCTGTAAGCCTAGAAGTTTGACAATGTCGAGCGTGATTCCACTGATGTTCCAAATGCCATTGTAGCCACTGATCCATGTTTAACTGTTGCTAGTGTCCTAAAAGATGGGAGAAATCTTTTCTGAAAAGACCGAAAGGGAATTTGGTTGGTATTCGTGTAATGTAAACCTATATATAAACTTTACGAGAATGCATCTCTTATAATAAAAATACAGTGTAGCTTGATTATCCTAAAAATCAAGTGACCGAAACTGACTTCAGAGAGTGCTTATTCAAGAAATTGTGAGGTTTCTATGTACTAAAGATTGTTGGTATTTTTCTATAGGCCCACTATTGAGCTATCTCATCACTAGCACTAGTGTTAGGTTTTATTTATTACAATACAAATACACAGGTTTCTAATGCATCAAATGCTTAATTGTGCATAGACACAACGAAGCATTTGCTGCATTAGAAATAACTTTGATGTGGTTAGAAATGCAACCCAAAGCAGATTTTTCAACTCTCAAGGATCAAACAGGCCAGGGATTTAGCAGAGTTAAAAGAAAAAACTACTTAAAACAAAACAAAATAAATAACTTACTTCAAAAAGAACTATAATAAATTATTTTTAAATACTTATTTAATATTAATTTTATTACTACTCGTTTTACTTTAATTTCAAAGTTTCATCATATTGCAGTGATGTACCTGTACTTGTTTTTAATAAAATAGACAATGTTTTTCGCAATTTCTTATCATTTGTATACATTAAATTTTCATCCTTAAGCATTTTTACTGTTGTACTAGAATTAAAATTAATATTGTTACTTTATTTTTTTCCTCCCAAATGTAACCCGTTATCCGAAATTCTCCTCCCGATTATTTCGGATATCGACGCTCTACTGGAGCGCACAGCGATTCAAAGTGTTAAAATACAACCTAGTTAACTACATTTTTGTAAAAAAAAAATTGTAATTTTTTGTTGCACAGAACAATTAAAAAGTATTCTTTCTTCGTAATATGCTTCACACTTATTAAGTGCATTAAAACTTCATCTACATCATCGTAAACTCAAGTTCTAGCAGGTTTTCCTGTACGTCTCGCATCATCAACTAATTTCAAAATTGATTCGCGATTTCTTATTATGATTGATAAACTATTCACAGGAATTCCAAACTTTGCTACAATGTCTTTCTTTTTTCGAGCCTTTATCACCGTCGCCCAGTTCACGGTTCCCCTCTCTCTATTACTACAGTATTTCCGTAAGATCCGCATACCTTAAACAATGCAATCCTCAATAATTACATAGTACTGTAATTACGAGCTAATTTGCCACCTGGAAAGGCTCCCGTATTTCTTTTCCTTCAATTCAGAGTTGAATCCCGAAATTGTAACCAAAAATAGATTCGCGATATTACTCTATTTAGAAAGGGATTTGCTTATGGAAATATTCAGTAGATACGAAGAAGCTTCGTAATGTCGGAGATATAGAAATTCAAGAAGTAATTTCCCATGATTGTTTAATTATGGGAAGAATTGAAGAATTTAGCTATTTAATTTTGCAAAAAAAAATCCGATGCATAAGGATTTGTAGCTATACCACAAGAGCGATTGATTACAAAAGTTCATCAGAATCTGACAACATTCTGTCAGTGAATCACTGTAAAGTATAGTATTTGGAATCATGAGGTTTTTACAGGCGGAGGATGGAGGTTTTAATGCTCTTTTATTAAAGAAGAGAGAGCACATACAATCATTTGGTTTTGTAGTCAGATAATTTTTACATATCTGCAAACGGAGGGAGGATTGTAGTTAATATAAGTCGACCCCCTATAACACTGTTGATTATTCCGTTTTATATGAATTCCATGTTATACGAGTTACTTAGATTTTACAAATACGTGAGTTGTTCACAGCCCGGCACATGTATTTGTAAAATCTAAGTGACTCGTACAACATGGAATTCATATAAAACAGAATAATCAACAGTGTTATAGGGGGGGTCGACTTGTACAAAAGAAGCACATAGGCTGAATATTTGATTGGCTAAAAGTCAAACGAGTATTCGTGGCAGAGGTCCGAAACTATCATTTTCCAATCAGCATAATAAAGTTTGCTCCTATTGATTAAAGGTTGTGGAAAAGATTAGATAAAGGTCCAGACATTCAAGTTTTTGACAGCAATAAAGATTTTTTAGTTTCCCATCCTTTCTCCTCATATGATTGTTTTAAAAGAATACAGTTCAATAATTCTGTAAACCTAGAGAGGGTTACAATTTCTACAATCTTTGGGAATCGCCGCGTTTAATAGCCCATTGTTTATAAAGAATTAAAAATGGCGTCTTAAACCGAGAGTTTAATAAATCAGAAGTTTAGTCTGGAATTTTGCAGTTCTATCTCTTTACTCTAATTGCTAAACGTATTTATCCTAATACAATGTTCTTTAAACAAGAAAAAATAACGATGACTGTAGTAAAAAAATTAGGGGCTGTCCATAAACGACGTCAACACTAGAAGGGGGTTATGACAAATCGAAAAAAGGGCGGAGGGTTGAGTTCAATGGACGTCCGTTTTATTACATTAAACTTTATGCATTTTATTAAATTTCTTTTAAAATTTCTCGTATTTTTCGTTTCTACTTATGTATCCATCGTTCATAAAACGATAAAGGTTTTAAGAGGAGAGTTGAGTTTTGTTGGACGTCGAAGAGGAGAGGATTACGGAAACTGGAACAAGGGGAGAGGGAGAGTAAATATTTCAAGAAAAATGCGTAATTTATGGACAGCTTTTTATAGGCAACGATAACAGACTCTAATGACGATTTTCGCCTCTTCTGCGTTTAAGATGGCCGCAGTTGTCATGGAAACAGTCCCAGGAAGCATCACTTCGCGACGGATCGCCATCGGTAGCGAAGTTCCGCAAACGTGAAATCGATATCCAATGAAATAGAAGGAAGTTTCTATTGTGCACTGTTTGAAAGGGAATGGATTGTTTAGAAAGAAGAGACGTTTTAATTGAAGAAGTGCGAAAGCGGCCTTATTTATATACGCCCGGTTTAAAAGGATATAAGGATGTTAAGTTGAAAGAGAACGCGTGGAAAGAAATTAGCGAGATAACAAAAATTCCCGGTAAGCAGCATTGTTTTTAACGGTTTTTAAAATTCTGTATATTTATAAAGTGTGTCTTACCATTAATCAAAAAAAATTTCAGATAGCGAAAAAGTGTTTAAGAATTTAAGAGATGTGTATTGTAAAAAGGTGAAAGCGTTGGAAAAAAGTATTGCCGAAGGAGGAACCACGTACGAAAAATGGCCTTTTATGAAGTCGTTAGAATTTTTAAGAGATCATCTCAGACGACGAAGGTGAATTAATTCATTAAACTTTTCTTTTTTTTTTTTTTTTTTGTTTTTGACATTTGCAAATAATTTCTTTATTAATGTTGGAATTTTTTTTCAAAGGTGTTTTTTCGAATTTTTTTATGCTTTATCTCATTTTCGAGAATGACCACTTTTAGAATGCAAATTAAAAGAATTAAAGTTTTTGAAAAATATCAATAAAATGTCAACTGTATAGGGGAGGCAAGCATTCAAAAAGTTCCTGAAAAATGTAAATAAAAAAGATAGTAAATTAAATTTAGCTCTTTATTTTTCAAAATATGTTCTTCCATTTAAGTTAAAACATTTTTCTATATGGTGTCACCACCCTTCTAAGTTATTCTGATAGAAATCAGTGCTCTTTGGGACTCACCAGTGGCCAAGCGGTCTTTGTTCCCTGAATACTGGAAGTTTGGTTGTGGGTTCGTGCCTGGCTCGGACGGGCTGTCCACGTAGAGTTCTTGGGTTTTTTCCACATCTGTAACGCCTGAATAGGGGCCAGTTACTCTTAAAAAGACCTTCTGGAAGGCATCCCCCTTAGGCAGATTGCCCAAGTATTGCATTGCTGTAAATTAATAAATAAACAAACAGCACTTTTTGATTCTATCCACTTCACTACAAAATGTTTTACTTGACTTCTAGAAAAATCCTTTAATTTTTTTTTATTTTGGAATAAAATAAAGTCTGATGGAGCTAAACACGAATACCTGACAAAACAAGTCTTGAGAAGTTTATGCTTGCATTAGTTAATTATAAATATAGCATTCTGTTTACAAATAATAATCACTTTTTGAATACCCTTGTTTTTTTGAGAATGAAATTTGGTAATAGTTTTCTTTTTTCTTTCTAAAAGACTTAATTTGTTGAATCTTTGAAAAAATTTTGATTTTTCAACAGCAAGAAGAAAGTAGTAATAAAAGTAAAGATTTTTTTATGCATTCTGATGCATAATTTATGGTTTTTATAAATGTATTTTATGTAGTTTCTATAAAAGTTTTACCTTTCCTCCTTGACTAGTATTATGAAGTAAATTATTCTATAATTTTTGAAATTGAAACAAACAACTTTAAAATGTGTTCATTTAAAATAAAGTATAAATTTAAATATTTATCAGCATAGATTATTTTAAAAATATATTTTTAAGTACAGTTTATTCAGTTTATGAAATTAATTAATCTAAGTACTGTTTTCAATCATTGTTGAATGGTTTCTTCATGCTTTTCTTTTTGCCGCAGTTCTTATTTATTGTATTCTAATTACTTTCTCTACTTCATTTTTCTATCTGTTTTTTCATCTTCTCCCATCCATTTTTCATTTCATTATTATTTTTATCTATCAATTTATTATTTTATACATTTGACAATATGTACAACTCATATTCATTTCTAAATATCAATAATAGTTTTACTTTTTTTTTTCTTCTAAAAGACTTCAAAGACTTAAATTTGTTGAACCTTTGAAAAAATTCTGATAACTTTTTATTAATTTATAAGTTTTAAATTCTGAAAACTGATAACTTTTTTAGTTTTAAGTAAAACATTTTACATATGGTATGTCTTAGTCCACTTTGGATGTTTACATATCTATCACATTCACATCTTATAATGAAATATTTAATAGAAACATTTTCTTCATATTCAAAAGCAAAAATACATAATGCATTTATTTATATACTAGCTGTTACCCGCGACTTCGTCAGCGGAGGTTTTGCAAGCAAACCCCATTTACATCCAATATTTCAATAACCATAGTAATTGTTATATAACACCTACCGCTGAAGAAAATTGCCGAAAATNTAATAAAACATTGTTTTTTTATTATTATGTTATATGTATAAGTGCATACATTTTATATTTATGTATAAAAAATAATAATAATAAATCTATCTCTTTTCTCAGCAACATTAACTATTTATATTAATAATAATAAAGATAAGCTACTCACGAATCAGTTAATATTTTTTCACGTGTAAATTGTATTTAATAAAATATGCTGTTTCCTTCACTATTCAAAGAAATTTAATTTAATTAAAAGCATTGTAATATAAACCCACAGGCATCACCATATACAGGTTCTTCCAAAAAGAATCTAGCATTTTAAATTATTGTAATTACGTGAATTATTTTATGAGAACGGGCCCGACATATCCAGACGGACCCCCCTCCCCGAAAATTTCCTGGAAGTTTTTTGCCCTTTCCAGAGTCGCTAATTGAAAAAAAAACTAGAATGCTAGCAGTTTAATTTATTTTTAACTATTAATAAATAAAGCAGCCTAACGCTGTGGGTGACCAGGACGGGTCCCCAGAGAGGTAAGCTGCCATCTTGACAGCTCGGCCATCCGATCGTCAATTTAAGGAGTACGACAGTCTTGGTTGCAGGAAAATATTCAAGAACATCGATGTTGGTAGTGTCAACGATATCCGTGTCACTGAAACATTTTTAATAGGACTTGTATGTCTTGTTTACTCGCATTTTTAGTATTTTTTGGATCTTCTTTCGCGGATATTTCAGCATTAAACAAAGGAGAAAACATTGTGATTTTTATCTAGCGGTTTATATCTAGACTCAATTCTTTCCAAATTTCATCAAGATATAAATTACATCTTTTACTTTGCCCTAGTGATTTTTGATCATTTTATGTATTTAGTGGCACAATTGAGAGAAGTGACAAAATTGAGTTGCAAGGATCTTAACCAAACAGTGACAGAGGAAGTGGAATTTATAAAGATGACGAAAACGAGGAATGATTGTATTGTTATTAAAATGTCGGTGTTCCTAAACCTGCGCTTGTTTCCGATTAATTAATGTGTGTTTTAAACGATTAGCTTAATTAATCTAGGAACGCATGGAATCCCGTATTTAGTAAATTCAAAATTTTCAAGCTTTGTAAAAAGTTGGCCAGATGGCTGAGGCGGTTAACGCCCAGCCTACCGCTTTGAGAAATCCGGAATAGAATCCTGACAGTCGAAAAATCTTAGGAATTTTTCAGGAAATGGTCACGTTCTCCATCAACCGTTTGCCCAGCTGTCAGCCTGGCCGAACAAAGGATGGGCTTGAAAAAGATCCTTAGTGCCCACAGGATGGAAAGAGTTCAAAAATAGCTACATATAAATAAAAAAATATAGAAATATTTTATAAAAATCTTAAATATACTGAAAATATATAAATAATCACATTTATTTTTTACGAATAATAAAATTACTTAAAATATTTAAAATAAAATTTTATCACAATTATTAAAATTTCACTAAAGTTGGCAACACTGGTCTTAACAGTGAGATATTGACAAGTTGTCTAAATTTGAACTTATTAGCGAGAAAATCAATCGTGACAGCGATTGTAATTTAAAAAAGTTTTAGTTTATTTGCATTATCCAGTATGAGTCACGGAAATTCTGCAAGCAAGGTTGGAGTTATTTAAATCTCATAATTAATTTTTATTCAAAATTCTTAATTTTCGTTGTCGTTCTAGTTGTTATTGTTATGTCATGTGTTTCTTACACGTGTTTTTTTCTGTGTTTTTACGCGATTTAGTTACCTTCTGTCTGTGAGAACTGCTGTAAAAAAATTGATGAAGCAACTGCTTTGTAATTGTAATTAAATGCTGTATATTGATTCTGTAAAACATTACATTTATTTAACACTTTTAAATTTATATTTTCTAAACTCAAATTATATCCTCTAGTAAACATTCAAACACTGTATCATAAATTAGTTTACATAGTTATATACAACTGGTACAAGGGACGTTTTCTCTTCAAATTATTTTTTTAAGAGATATATTTGATGGATATTTCCAAAACACAGAACTTTTGGGGAACAACCTGTATGAAAAAAGTGCTGTATACAGAATAAATTTATATTAATTAAAAATTTCAAACTAGAAATATATCTCTGAAGTTATATTGAAGCCATCAATAAAATAGGTTTAAACAAATACAGTGGAACCCCGGTTAACGAACTTAATCTGTTCCGCGAGTCTGTTTGTTAACTGAATTGTTCGTTAACTGAAGCAATTTTTCCCATAGAAATTAATGCAAATGCAATTAATCCATTTTAGTCTCCGAAATTTTTGTGATTTTATTTGTAATATACAGTACAGTAGATTTTCTTTGATGAAAATGTAGGAAAACGTAGTATCTATCATTACAGCAACAAACATGTAAACTTTGTTTAATAAAATAGCACTGTACGTACCTTTGTTTGTTGTAGTTGGTGGCAGAAAAGTGGAGATATATGAATCTTAATGCTTAGAAGGGGAATCCCCTCCAAAAAAATAACGAGTAGCACTTCATCAGAAGATTCTTCGAGTTGAAGCCTCTTTCGGTAAGAAAGCCCAACAGTGACTAAGCGGTCTTTGTACCCTGAACACGGGGAGTTCATTCATGGGTTCGCACTTCACTCAGACCTGCCAGAAGGCATTCCCCCTAGGCAGATCGCCCAAGTGTTGCATTGCCATAACTTAACAAACAAATAAACTCTTTCCCTAAGGAACAAGAAATTAATGTAAAGTTGATTGTCTTACTCTTTTAATCAAAATTTTTCTCAAATGCAATAGCGCATTGTCATTNTCCAGCAGTATATTGAATCACAGGCACAGGACTTGACTGTGTTGCCACCATTCAACTTTAATCTCAAAATTTTCCTGACTCTGACTGTATGCTTTTGCAACTGCACTTTTCACTTTACTGATATTGTCCATCTCCAAAATGTCCAGGTATTTATAAGCTTGATTGTCTTACTATTTTAATCAAAATTTTTCTCAAATGCAATAGCGCATTGTCATTTTCTATTGTCACTATGACTTTTTTCTTTCTTGGATGCCATATTGATTAAATATATAAATCACAAAACTGAAAAAAGAAGTATAGCACAAACACTTGGAAAAGCAATGCTTAACTTGTGCATGCCTAACACCAACTAAAATTTGACACAAAATACCGTTACGTTTGTTATCCGAGACAAAATTTTTGCAAAATAAAAGTTTGTTAGCCGATTTGGTCGTTAATCAGGACGTTTGTTAACCAGGGTTCCACTGTACTATATTTAATTTTTCGTCATTCTTAATTATATAGCATTACATTGGAGCAAATTTATTTAAACTTAATGATTGATAATTATGATCTGTCTAGTTTTTTCTACAAGTAAATGTGATGCAAAATTTAAAGAAAACCTAAGTAGACACCAATTTTTTACATTACTGAAATGCATTTGATAATAGTTCTGTAACATGGGCCAAACAATAATTAATGATNTATCCGGAGTGGCGGGTTATCGAGAGCCGAGTTTTCGAGGTTCTACTGTACTGTGTTTTTCAGATTACAGATTTTTAAGTGTCTATTATAAAAATTTGAAAGACCCATTTTTTCACTTTTAATTGTTATACTGCAATTGGTTTTCCTGTTAATTTATATGATAGAACTTCATCAAATAATTTATTTTGGAAGAGCTGTAATTTAATGCCATTTGTAATGATTTATTATTTCACAAATTTGAAAAAAAAGAGCTTCTGTTGCAGTTGTTGGCAACCTTTTCGTTACTATGGGTGCAAGAAAAATTTTAAAAACCATCAAGAGTGCATATTTTAATTTTTAAAAAGAAATCACAATGTTGTTTTAAATAAACAAAATAATTACGCTTTGAAATATGTATATTTATACTAAATAGTGATTATACTTGCATGTAATAACTAAAAAATGAAAATTAAAATTATATGCGTAAAATAACACAAAATCAAATTAAATAAAATTACAAGTATTTATATGTGTGATTGCATGATTGTGGTTCTAGAGGACACGTCTGAAATGTGCCACATTGCTGACCCCTGTTCTATTGTATACTTTAATCACAATAATTATATTCAATGACTATACATTCAATTTATAAAAAGATCTCAAATCTTTTATGAAGATATATAAAATAGAATGGTCAAAATTTTACAATTATCATCAAATTTTATTTGGTAAACTGTAAAAAAGTATATACATAGTACGATCCAAAAGTTCGGGGACTTGGCTTAAAATTCCTTACCTTAAAAGGTTTATATTGCCGATGCACAACCACCTTCAAAGTAATCACCTTGGGCAACGATACACTTTTGACAGCGCTCGTATAACTTCTGGAATCACTGCTAGAAGCCATTTTTTGAAACCTCCCGTAAGGCCTCCTGCAATGCTGCTCTCACCTCATCTGATGACACAAAACGGTGTCTCTGCAAATGCTTTTTCATTGATGGAAACAAATAAAAATCACACGGGGCTAGGTCCGGTGAATAGGTGGGTGTGGAAGCACATTAATTTGAGTTTTGGTGAGTTACTGTGTTACCATTTGGGACTGATATGCAAGTGTGTTGTCATGCAGAAGGTATCAGTCTCCACTTTGCCAGATCTGTGGTTGTTTATGACAAATGGATTCCCTCAAACAACATAAAATGTTTAAATAATGCTCCTTGTTTACTGTTCTGTCTTTGGGAATAAATTCTGAATGAACAATTCCTTGAGAATCAAAAAAACACCTCCATCATGACTTTCCCTTTGCTCGATGCATGTTAAGATCTTCCATTAAAATACACTGGCAACTAGTCTTTGATAAGTGAGTAGCCACAGTGATTTTTTTCAAGGGTTTGGTGATGATCTTTGCAAACACATTGAGAGACCAACTCAACATTTTCCTTGTTCCGTGAAGTCGAAGGTCGGCCAGAGTGTTCATCGTCTGCGATGGATTCTCGGCCCTCTTTAAAACGCCAATGCCATTTGTACACCTTTGATTTTGCCATGGTAAAATCACCATACACTTTTCTTAGCAATTTTAAAGTCTCCATAGGTGTTTTACCTAAATGCTGACAAAATTTAATGTTGCAGCGCTGTTCTTGAAACTCCATTTTTATTACGTCACAAAACAAAGGTAACTATCTCTGAAAGAAAACAACAGCACTCGTGGTTTAATCACGTGACATGGGCAAAACCAACCTGAACATGTAGGAATGGGAAAAACACTTTGTTTTATAGAATCAATTTCATACGCTGTAACTTCAAATACATGCTTTTGTTGTCATACATTACTGCATTCCCCGAACTTTTGGATCATACCACGTATAATCTGTTAATATTTAGATTCATTAAACTACTTAAATTTGTACACAATCAAGAACCTTTAAAGTCCAGTAACACCAATTTTTTAATGAAAACAAACATCCATTAATTAGAAAATTCATTTGTTTCATATTCATTAAAATTTGTGTTACTGGACTTTAAAGGTTCTTGACTGTGTATGATTCATTCCAGTAATTTGGTAAGAAAAGAGTTTATACTTAAATTTGTACAAGCATAGCAGTATTCTCTTCTATGGGCTGCTTTACCTGTGGTGTCAAGAGAAGCTAAGTTTATGAGTAAAATGCCAATCTTTTGGGAGCAGGTGTTTGTGTGTCTTGGGATGTTGAAAATGCCATCTATCCACCTTTTACATGGTCTTTCTCTAGTTCTAAATCCAATATTTCCTCCTATCTGTCAATTATCATTCTTATATTACAAGTGACCAAACCATTTCCTCTGTTGTCTTTCTATACAATAAAACATCAGTTTAGTTTCTAGCTTCTCTCATATTTCATCATTCTGTAATTTATACATAAGTGAAACTTTGAGAATTCTTTTCAGACATCTCATTTCTGTTGGTGTTTTTCTTCAATGGTGGACTGAAATAGTATTTGGATAATATGAATTTGATATTATTAATATCAAATCCATACTATATTAATATTAATAATACACTTGATAATCTGAAACCGTGTTGTAACTCTTCTTTGATTCTTAAACACTATGTAGTGTAAATAAAGATGATAAAATGCCAAGTGTTTGAATTTATTACACTACATAGTGTTTAAGAATAAAAAAAAATAAAAAATAATATAATTTAAGAATAATATAGATTGGAGGATGGTCTTTACTATATTCATTTTGGTGATTGTTCGAATCTATTTGTTGTGACATCATCACAATGTCGGGCTGCTATATTAATCATATTTTTAATTTATTTAATTTAAATTACATGTTCTCCGCCCAGTGGTGTAGCTACATGTTCAATGCCTGGAGCAAGTAGAATCAGTGCTCCCCTTGTTCCTTGGAAGATGTCTCACAAAATTTACTTTGAACATTTAATTTAAAAACACATATCTAATTATTTCAATTTAAAACTTTACTTAATAACAAATTATTTGCGATTCAAGGCATTTCAATGATAAGATATTTAGTTTAATAAATCTTATGATATAATCAAGATGGGTTGATGATAATAATAGTTTAATAAATCTTATGATATAATCAAGATGGGTTGATGATAATAATAGTAATAATAAGTGCAGAGCCCAAACAGTTAGGAGATGAAAGTTGAAATTTGGTACACAGCATGAGAATGTACACTAAGAAGGGATTTTTTGAAATTTCCCCCGTGGGAGAGAGGGTGCAGATAATCAAACATATTTTTAGACCTATCTAAAGATTCTCTAATTAGCCTTAGAAGAGGGTGAACCTAATTCTTGCACCCGATGAAAATGGGTAAGATTGGCTATAATCTAATAATCTTAATCTTTGCTGTAGTCACTTTTTGCCCGAGCAATGCCTGGCTCATCTGCTAGTATAAATATAATAATAAAACACAATATAATTTTTTAAGTATGGAGTACCTTATATTATTTACTACATAGTATATAAACTGTATTGACAAAAATGTGTGCAAGTTTAGTTTCATAACAAATACATAATAGTACATAAAAAAACTTCAAGATTGTTGTTTTCTTGCTTTTTCGTTTGCAAATGGGTCAGTCACTTTCTCCAGATCAAGTTGACAAGCTATTGTTTTTTCAGTTGATATAGTAACCAGAGCTAAGACGATGTTATGACATGCTGCTGCTTAAAAAAGTTTTGATTAATTTTAGTTTTCAAAAAACTTTATTCTGTTCTCACTGTCATTGCCCATAAAGTAAAAAAATGAGGCATGCTGCAATAATGTCAGAGAACCTACTTGAGGCTGTGGTGTAAACTAATAGTAGTTCTGCAACTTTGCTTAGAAGTAATTTCTTTTACTTGAGTATAAAAACACATTTTAAATCAAAGCAGTTGAAGTCTGAAACTAAGTGAAATGTTGGCGAGATATGCCAATTGTGAAAATTCTAATCCTTCCAGAATATTTTTATCGGATGACGCGACAAGATATGCAGGTGATAAGCACTTAAAAACTGTACATGATTGTCAAATGAATTCTAATAGTTAATTGATTAATTATTAAATCCAAAAATTTTTTATAAATGGTTTTACAAGTTTTTATTTTGCCCCTTTTAACATTGGTGCCCTCATGATTTGTGCACCTGGAGCAGTTTACTCCAACTGTTCCACAGTAGCTATGCCTCTGTCTCCACCTCAAATTAGTAGTGTCTTGCCCCTGTACATCATACTTTTCCTTCTAGCAATAGTTGTTCCAGTCATCTATATAACTCCTTTCAGGGAAAATTTTTTAAATTGAAATAAAAAATATATAGTTAATTCGGGTCTCCTGCTTTTAAACTTTTCATATCTGGTCTCAACTTTCATCTATCTAACTCTGTTCTTGAGATTAAGGAAGGATGGACAGATAGACAATAGTTGGAATTTATAGGCTACAATTTTTTCACATTACAGCCCAACAATCAGTAACAGTGAAAGCTGACCAAGTATTTTATTTGCCTGTATGCATCTTAATTCAATTTAACTATCTAATATGTCATCTTCAGTGAAACATACTCCCAAGTATTTAAATTCCCTGTCTAGATTCAAGATATGGCCATTTAGAGTTACATATAATGGTTCATGAATTCCCAGTTAAGTATGATTACTGGTAATTTTTTGAATGTTATACACATATAATTCTCACCATTTCTGTGTAAATACAGTGGAACCCCAGTTAACGAACGTAATCCGTTCCACGAGTCCGTTCGTTAACCGAAGCATTTTTTCCCATAGAAATTAATGCAAATACAATTAATCCATTCTAGCCGTCAGTATTTTTGTAATTTTATTTGTAAAATGGGTTTTCTTTAATGAAAATATAGGAAAACGTGCTCATAAACAGTCGATCTATGTTAAATTTTCGGAAAAAAGGAAAGATTTGACGGGTATAAAAAACATCACATACGATCGATAAAGTTCTAAAGTGACAGATAGCAGAAACAATAGGCTAAATTATGAGCGAAAGGCTTATAGGTTTATCAACAATCTCCGATCAGAGTCGACGAACAGGTGTCAAATAAACGCCTCGGAACAAATCTTACTCATGACCTGATCTGGTTTCGGTTTTCACCTGGAGACAAAGAAGAAAACAATCGGGAAGCGAGGAATGGGACACAGGACAAATCGTAAGGTGAGATTCAAGGAAGAAATACTATAAAAACCCCCGAATATCAAGGTAAAAACGCAGTTTTCCTAAAACTTCTATGGCGATTAATCTGTGTCGTCTTCGTCTGGATTAAGCCTGAAGTCGTTCCCGCTAAAATTTGTGTTGTGTCTTGCGGACCGCTCCAGTCTTGCAGCTCTCACCTACCATCGCTTCTGTGACCAAGCGAACCCATCTCGTCCGCTCTGGGGCTACGACTGATCAGCTTGCACTATCGTAGGACCAGCGATACGCCACTCCTCAGTGCCGAGAGAAAATACTGTAGATAAGCCATTTCCAACTACCTCAAATATGTAAGCATCTTCCCGTTGTAATAAACGATTTTCACTGTAAAATACTTGTCATCTTTGTCTCCTCCGCCACCACCAACGTACGAATGGACCCTAGACCATCACCGACACACGATTAACTGATTTTCCCTAAAAGTCGGCAAGCTTACAAATTTGACACAAAAAGCCGTTAAGTTCGTTATCTGAGACAAAATTTTTGCAAAATAATAGTTCGTTAACCGATTTGGTTGTTAACCAGGACGTTCGTTAACCGGGGTTCCACAGTAATCTAAATATGCCTGCAACTCCTTATCATTTTTGTAAAAAAACACAAACAACAGTTCATTTATTGCTTCTACTTCATTAGCTTCCTTCATTATGTAGTCAGTATAGCTTAGGAAAAGCATGGACAACAAAACACAGCCCTGCCTCACTTCAGATGTTACTTAAAATGATTGTGATAATCTTGCTGTTTTTATTGTACAAATGTTTTCTAATATAAACTTCTACATACTTATATCAGGTGACCAATGATATCATAACTCTCCAAAATTTCCTGTAATTTTTTCTAGTTTACCTACAAAATAAAAGCAACAAACACCAAAACCTGTATAAAATCAACATCATAGAGCATGAGTACAGCAAAGTACCATCCTATCACTCAGTTGTCATGCAAATAAAGCATGTACCCTAGTGACAAAATGTAATGTGCTATTTATACAGCAAAATCATCTCTGACAAACAATCATATGCTACGATTATACAATCATATGGGTTATAATCATCTGTTTTTGCTTCATACTTTTCATTTCCTTATAAAAGTATATTTGCTGTTTGTAGTTCTTCTGATAGAATGAATTCTTGTAAACTCACACCATGTATTTTACTTAGTTTCTCTAATTTTTCTATTGGTTACTATTCTTGCTAGGTTATATATTATATATCTGTTTTCTCTCTAACCTATAACACAGTTTATTTTTTCTTTACATTTCTGATATCCTCTGCCAACTATATCCTTTCTTGTTGTTCACCACTTTTTATCTTAGTACTGTACTACATAGTTCTTTTGCATTTAATTAAAGTTTCTCTTTAATAATCAATAACTCTCATTCTTGTTCCATTGGATTTATATGATGGAAAATTTCTCATATTCTTCCTTGTTTTTGCTTGGAAAGTGCTCCTTACCTCTTCATTTTTAACCTTTCCAATTTTTATGATTCTTTTGTTGTTCTAATCTTAGTTTTCTTTTGTTTCAGTTCTTCTTTTTAACAGTTATCATTTTTGTTTTGTGATTGTATCCATTATTGGATTTGGTACAGTTCTTAAATCACAGATATGTTTGTTTATTTTGAGTTATAATGTAATCTGTTTGACATAACAATACAAATAATTAATTATTAAAAAAATTAATGTTTTTTGCTTCAACCATAACTTCCAAATTATCAATACTTTGACAACTTTCAATGATGATACTTTGTAAAAAAGAAAATGCCCTCGTTTAATTAATAGTAATGAATAACATGGTTCTTTTAATTGGATTTTTAGTTAATTATCAATTGGAAATAAATTATTGATTGTTTTAATAAACAAATTTTTCTTAACTAAAGTATAAAATGTTTTTTGTTACTAACTTCTGGAACCTAATTCCATGTTTTGGATTAGTCCTTTGTCTCACATAGCACAGATTCACACCTAACATGAGACTTTTTTGGATACCTGTAGTTAGTTGGATACCTTTTTTTGGATACCATGGTATATGATGGATACCTGTAGTTCCATTGCATTAAAACAAAAAAGAAAATTTTCTAAATGAGGAATTATTTAGAAAATTTGTTTTTTCTTTATCCTAATTTGTTATATAAAATATACAAAAGAATTATGACCTTTAAAATATAATAGCATTACTAAACTATCTTGAAAAATGATTTTCTTTGCATTTTTTATAGTGTTTATCCATCCAGTTCTCAAGGTAAAAATAATATAAGAAAAAAATCAAGTTATGAAACAGTATTAACGAACAAAAAGCTTTCCATTGAATCAGTAAAAAGTTCTCAAGACTCAAGATCTTTAACATCACCTTCATTATCATCGAATAAATCTGTGGGTAAGTAATCTATGTTAGTATATTTATCTTTTCCTGCAATACGAATTTAATAATTATCATCTTAAGGCATTTTACATTAGAACAAAACATTTCATTCTATTGTAAAATGCCTGTAAAGTTAATAATTTTAACAAGTCTTGGAAATTATTAATCTTCTAATCCCCTGTTTTGTCAAGTTCAATTTTTACTATTAAATAATAGTTATTTATAAGGGTTACCACACACAGATAGATTAGAATAGTCATGAATATTTATTTAATAAATTAACTTTATGAAAACTTCAATATGTGGTAACTTTTTATAACTATTATTTAATAGTAAAAGATTGAAAATCTTGAAAAGACAATTGCTTAAAGTATAACAGAAGGAACAGTTAAGAAAAATGTGTGGCGGATAAAAGAGGTCAATCATTTGACTAGACTTGACATTTATAATAATATCAACTGTGAATAAAACTAAAAATTATTAAATTATTTATGTGAAATTTTTTCTGTAGAAGAAATCAGATACCTCTCATTATCAATATAGAATTAGCTTTATTCTCTTATGAAATTTATTGAAAAAATAAAGCAGGGACAATTCAAGATTTCTTAAATTTATGCAAAATATTTAATGAAAGATTTTGTCCATTTCTTATCTAAAAGAATGGATCAGATCTTTTATTAAATTTGTATTTCAATTACTATAACATTTAAATGTTATAAAATATTGAAATTATTTATTAAGCTGTTTTTGTTAATAATTATAATAATGTTTAATGATATATTTTTATAGAAATGACCTTGAATATGCTAAATGCTACAGAACCAGAAGTTGATGTTGAAAGTTTAGGTGGAACAAGTAAACTTGATTATGACAGTTCATCAGAAGCCTCCTAAAATATATATTATAATTGTACAGTATATTACATTATAGTATCATTTATATATAAAATTTATTTTATTATGAGATGTACTATTCAGATAATGGAAAGTGTACAAATTCAACAAAATATTCATTGTAAAAATTAAATTTTATACAACTTTTTTCAAGTATCATTGTAGAAAATGAATTATGTATATAAAATTCCTTATATTTTCAAGGATCAAACTTTCAAATAATCAAAATTAAATTAATTTAAATAATTTCAGTAAATATTTTAAATTATTTTTGCTAATGTTATATAATTTCATTAAATTTTTTGATTTGAATATCTTAAAAATTGAAGCTCTATTTTTGTAATTAACATTCAAACAAAAATGATAGTAATTTTAGAAATCTCTTTTATTGAATAAAGAAGAATTTCATAATCAAACTTATTTCATTATTAACTTTTTTTTTGTGTATAAAGATTGAATATAGAACAACAATGTAATTTCTAAATATTTTATGTTTTTTAAATTGTACTTATCCTGTGACCATCTGGATATTTGCCACAATTGTATTATTAACCATGCTGATCTAATCGAAAATATTTCTAATTCAATAAAAGAGAATAACAAAATTTAAATAAATTTATTATTTCATTGAATCTTTTAAACTTTTTATTTTTTTAAAAGTGTCAGTAAGCCATTTCAGACAGGAGTAAATCATTTTCCCCCTACATTTTAATAGGCACTTTACTTAATTTTTTAAACATTAACAATTTTGAATAATTCTAATAAATTTTTAAATTAATGAATAACAGTAACATTTCAAAAGTTAAAAAATATTTATATTAATATACACAGTATTTATTCATTGTTAAGAAATTTTTCTCTCCTTTTTTGAGAATAAATGTATTAATATAAATATTGTATTATGGATTACATTGAAATTGCTAGTTTAATATAATCCTGCTTTAAAGAAAAACAAAAAAAAAAAATTCTATTAGGAATATTTTACATTATTATACATATATTTTACATACCAAATAATGTAAGATATTAAATTTTGTTACTCTAAAATTTTCAAAATGGAAAAATTTTAGATAAAATGAGTAAATTATATATTGTGATATTGTCACAATGCTGGGATACAACTTTTAACCATACCGCTAGACTTATTACATCACCAAAGTAGCGGTAAAATAAGGTCAATCTTAGTGCTCACAAGTCATTTAAGAAGTCTAGACAAGAAACGTATCATAGTATTCATTGATTACGCATTATTTATGACGATTCTGTAAAAGCAAGCATTTTTCCTTGATACTAATTTTAAAAGTAACTTTTTATCACAATTTTTATATCTTTAGGAAATGTTGCTTGGTTTTATTGTGTTATAGATTTTAGATTATGAAGAAAGTTTGAGTAAGACCACAGATTATAAATACATTGTCTTTCCCATAATATAAAATGTACTAAGTAATAGTAGTAATAAATAAATAATAAATGTAGTAGTAATAAAAAATAGTTAGTGACAAAAATAAATTGTCAACTCATGGAGTATGATGTCACATAATGAAATTTGATATAATGAATAATTCAGAAATTACATCAATCAAATATCAACATTAACTTTGAAATATGCTTTAAGTAACTTTACTCATTCTAATTTTAATAAATTTCTTGAACTTGCATATTATGTATACAGTACTTGTATAATATGAACATAATAATCAGCCATACAGGATGAGTCAATACAATTATGCACATAAAACAAATCACTTTTACTCCTCATTAATTTAAAGTTACAAATTATACAGTTCTAAATGTATCCATTTGAATATAAAATATGATTCCAGACTAAATTAAATAATGCTTTTTAATTTTGTCATATTAACTCCCCTCATTAAAAAGTTTCTTAACATAAGTGATCTTGAAAATGATTTTCAAGATTGTCAAAAAAGGTACAATCCTATTCTCTCTGCATGACTTCCTATGTAACTACATTAACAAAAATAATGTATCTTTTACTACTTTTGGAATGAAAAGGATGCAAGAGACTTTTTACTCAGCCTGTGTATTGTAATATTTCTGTTTTGAATTTTATACATTGTTTTCTCAGCATATTTTCTTGACATTAAATATGGGGCAAGTAAATTCCATTTAACTTACACACAACCAAAGCTTCTGAAATAAAATTTAGTCCATTGGGTCAGACAAATGGGCTGTATCAGAAAATATTCTACTTTTAGTTATAAACTCATCATTTTGAAAACATTACATAAAAATAGAAACACAACTATCTTTGATTCTACTGAATTTCTAGTGTTTTAACTGGAGCTGTGGAGTCAGTACACAAAACAATTGGACTCTGACTTCAGCTTCTCAATTTATGATGACAATATCTCTACTTATATTACAATTTAAATTTATTAAGAGTCAGTCCATTTTTACCAACTCTGACTTAAGAATTGCTTTTAATTCCAACCCTGGTTTTAGTATTTTTAAATTTTGATTTGGTGATTTATATTTGTTAATCATAAATGTTCTGAGTGTTACTAAAATTTTAGCACTATTTGATATCTACAAAGATAAAATTAGGAATGAAAGTTTTACTAATATTAGTATTTAAACTATAAATTAAAAATGCCATCTAAACATAGTGCATATCTGATGTCTCACTTAGCTAAAAAAACACAGGAAATCACTATCATTGAGGAAACATGGAAATAGTCTTATGCATCATTTAATGTTTATGTGAAGCATTAAAGTTAGCACCTTCTACAATTTCAACAGTAGTAACCAATGCAGATGAGACAAACATACATGTACAGGAATTGTTAAAGCAAATGTATGAAAAGTTCCGTATTCAAGGCATGAAATAATGTTAAAAATGGAAAAATTATTATTGTTGTAAACTGAAGATATGAATATCAAAGCATTATTTCTGTACTTGAAGCAGTAATTACGGACAAGAGAAAGTCCTTGTTTAATGAAATATAATAGATGAAGAAGCTGGTGAAAAATGCAAAAAGGTTGGTTTTTTCAATTCAGAATGTTAAAATTTCTGTTGAAAACAGCTAGTATTGGTGTTTTTGCAATGTTGCAAAGTTTTGTACATCAAATAACTTTCCTAGTAAAGTTGTTAAGCCTTGACATTGCCCCTGGGCATTCAGAAGATTTATATACTAATAATGCCTTGGGTGTTAAGTTGGTTTATTAGCTATCCCAATACTGTGTCAGTTTTGCAGTCAGTTACTAGAATGCCATTGCAGTTGTCAAGCCATACTAAAGCACAATTTTCAAATGGATTGTGGAGGCAATGCAAGCATCTAATCTTTGTCAGTGAGAGACTGCTGAAAATACTTTAATATCCATAAGATCATAACAAATATTTCAGTCATGTGAATGGTGTCTGACAGGAATTATAGCTTGATACAATTTCTGATTTTTATGTATTCGAATCTCTTTAAAAAATGGTTGACAATGTGTCTAGAATGGTTGAGAATGTTATTGATATCAGAGAATTTAAAAAAAAATCATAGACAGTCACTTTTTGAATGAACATTTGGAAAAACTGGCAGCAAACTTGCTAAAAAGGAGAGTAAAGATGACAAGAAGATACAGGAAATGGTATCATTCAGGATTTTCATCATATAGTTAAGGAAACTTTAATACAGATACAGAGTGGCTGTGAATCTGTGATAAAGATCCTGACTGGAAAGCATACCGAAAAGAGCTGTAATCAAATGCCCCGAAACCATATAATATGAAAGAGAAGAAGAAATGGGTCTAAGACATCTATGGAATTTTTAACCAAATAGACAACCGAGCCTGATGATTCAAATGATCCTCAATCAGGCTCACTTCATTAAGACATCTGTATACCTCTACCAAAACACATCAACATAGGGAGCAGATAGTGGTATTATTAAGTTAGACTTATTTTGCTTTTTTTGGAGTTATTTCTGACTACTCTTAATACTTTCTTTGTTTTAAGTAAAAGTATTAATTTGCAGGGATCAGTTTTGATTAAAAAAAAAAACCAATCTCATTTAAATATATTAAAAGTTTATTTCAATATACAAAGATTCACTGTATGAATAGTGGCTGGAAGCATAATCCCTTCTTAAAACGGGGCTTTTCTGTACAATAATATACAGTACTTACATTAGAACAGAAATGAAAATCAGGATGTGAGAATTTACTAATTTAATGTAAAATATGACAGAAAACGATATAATAATCTGAATTGTGAAGCTTATCATAAACTATTATCAAACTAAACATAATTACAATTGCTAAAGTTTTATAAAGATAACATCATTAGTTTTTTTATGTATAATATGTAATATAAACAAAGCATATGCTACATTACTAAATGCTTTATTTCAATCAGCACATATTCTAGTGTAACTGGATACAAAATGTGTAATGGGAATCCCATATTTGTGCAGTAATCAAAATTCACAAACACAGCTTACTTATCGTATAATAAATTATATCACATGCAGGCGCACTACACATGTTTAACAATTAAGATTGAATGGTGGTTTAAATTAATAAATAATCAGTCCTGTACAGATATAAGATTTGGGTTATTGTCCTTATTTTCCATTTATCTCTTAGAACAGCTTATTAACTGTAGGATTTATTGGCTTGGCCAAAACAAAATTTGTGCGGTAGGAAAAAACCTTACAATAAAGCCTGATTTTAATATTAAATATATAGGTTATGCGCCTTAACAAGGCGTCATTAATTAACTTATCTGTACATTCATACAAGTTTTTCCCCTTCACTTCACTTATTTAGAGAAAACTTAAAGATTAAATATACAAAATATTAATATGAGAGATAGTTAAAGTAAGTTTAAACATCACTTAAGATAGCTAGCGTGACTTTCAATCATAACATATGGTCATCTTAACATTAATATTAATGATTCCTTGATATAAATACTAAGTTACCTTAGTTTATTAATGGCATGATTACTTTATGAATATTTCATTTATTCTGCCATACTTTGATAACAGAGATGGATACATGGAACAAGTCTGAAAAATGCATTATAAAATATAGTTAAATAGATAATCATAAATATTAAAATATATAAAGTTTTTTAAAGATATACTTGACTAAAATGATTGATAGTATAATGATTTTATATAATTAAAATCTACAGAATTTTAACTTTTCGTTAGCAATAACGTGAATACTGAAGTTCATCATTAGAAATCCACTCTTCCCATCTCACTGGCAAGCGATCTTTCAGAGGTTTGTTTAAGATTCACTTACACAAAAAGAACAAATTTTTCGCAATGATACTTTTTTTTTACTCTCTTCCCCTGTGGGTACTAAG